CTCGAAACATTCAAAATCCAATATCTTTATTCCTAGACTTCTTTCGCTAGTAATTTTTTTATGAGAATGTTCAACAATAAATTCTCAAGGGTTATAGGCATTTTTGATATTTAAACGCTGTCATTTCACTTCAGATAAAATTATGTATGGGGACCTGCCATTGTCCTTTAATTCCCAATTGTTGTAAATTGTATAATAAGTATTGATTACAGTTTTTTTTATCGACAAGTTTATTTAGGAGTTTATTCAAAATTATACTTTTTTTATGGAAGAAGGGAAACAAGCAGACGGGTTATCTGATAGAAAGCGACTACCGCTGCCTATGAACGCCTGCAACTCAGGAGTCACAGGCGCGTCACATGACATCACTAGGAACTGCCTTAGGTGTTGAATGAGAAACAATTTTTTTTGTTCTACATTGAGCACCAAGCTGATGTACCTATTGGTGCTGTAAGTGGAATAGCTTAGGTGCAAAAAGACAATACTCCCTCCAAAGATAATTATGGCAAAAGTATGTAAAATGAGTTATGTTTACCTAATGATGCATAATAATATGACGATATGAATGAATGGTTGGCCTTTTAGTGTAGTGGTTACCGGTCCTCCCTGCTAAGTCAGAGCTGTGAGTTCGATAACCACCCATGATAAATAATTGCATGAAGAGCACGGAGTCTGGTTGTAGTCTGTGTACATCCACACTAATACATAGTATGAATGCGAAAGTGATATAGAGGATAGAATCAGTCCCGGGAAAGGACATAGGATAGGTTTTATCCCAGAAATCATCTTTTAAGGGGGTGGAAACAGGGGTGGAAGTTTGTATGGGAAATTAATAATCACAGAACCTATTTAAATGAAATTTGGAATCCAGATAGTTTAATTCTTGTGGAAGGGCGGAGCGGGAAAACGGAGCCGCGGGCAAAAGCTAGTAAGAAAAATATAAGCATGTTTATCAGTAGTCTGGTTCACATAATATAGGATTTAATTTGGGCTTAATCCGCCGTGTGTATCAAGTTATTATTTGGATTTATTTATTATTTTAAAGGGTACAGTATGGTACATACAGACGGTGATAGATAGTCTTCAAAAACAATAGGCAAACGAAAAGTTAGAGAAGACAGAGCGATTGAGTGAGCGAGAGAGTTGATGTTCAGGAACGGTTATTTCATAATCTACGTTAATAAAGTTATCTATCATATGTGTGTATATATGTAAGTATGAGGGGCTCGTGGCTAAATGGTAACCGAATAGAATAGCACATTGCAAAGATAGCAATCTTAGCCAGGTCAGTTGAGACCCACCCCTCCCTCTGTTGGTCCTGGTTGCTATACGAACATCGGTGGCAATCGTTACGGGTTGGAGACCTAAAAAGTCTGCAAACAGTCTATTTACTCAACTTCGAAATCGCCTATGTTTATCAGAAGTTTGCTTACCACAGTGCATGCATAGGCTCTCCCTAGTTTGGATACAGACAGCGTTTAGGTGTGTAAAGTTAATATTATTATTAATAATAATATTAACTTTACAAATAAATAAAAATGGAGTGTGTTTGTGATATTAAAATAACCGCTTTTTACAAATTTACCATGTACGAGGGGTGATCAATAAGTAATGATAATCAATATGAAACAGAACTATTAGATTAAAAAAAGTATTTTATTTTTCAACATAGTCTCCTTGGAAGTTAATACATTTAGTGTATTTTTTTTCCAAGCCCATGATTCCCTTAGAAAAAAATTCTTTGTCTTGACCCTCCCAAAATGCCTCTACTGCGGCCATCACTTCACTATTGTCCTCAAATTTGTTGCCCCGGAGGTGTTCTTTGAGCCGAGGAAAGAGGTAGAAGTCACTGGGAGCTAGATCTGGCGAATAGGGAGGGTGTTCGAGCAGTTCGAACCCCGTTTCTTCAATGGCAGCCATCGCAACTGCGGCTTTGTGAGCCGGGGCGTTGTCTTGGTGAAACAGCACTCCAGCGCGCAGTTTACCGCGTCTTTTTGACTTAATAGCTTCTCGCAATCTTCTTATTTGGCCTGCGTAGTAAGAGCCTGTTATAGTGGCCCCCTTTTCCAAATATTCCACCATAATAATTCCTTCTGCATCCCAGAAAACAGACGCCATAACCTTTCCCGCTGAACTTGACACTTTGAATTTCTTCGGCGTTGGTGAGGAAGCTCGTTTCCAAGTCATTGATTGTTGTTTGGTTTCGGGATCAAAGTGGTGGATCCAGGTCTCGTCCATGGTCACAAAACGCGACAAAAAAAATTCTTTATCGGCCTGGAACTTTTGAAGATTCACCCTCGAAATGTCGACTCGTTTCTTTTTTTGCTCGTCGGTTAACATTCTCGGTACCCAACGCGCAGAGACCTTTTTCATATGCATTTTGTTGACAATGATTTTTTGAACGCTGCCATAGGAGATCCCTGTGACCTCAGCTACATGCCTTACGGTCACCCTTCGATCGGCCAACACGATATCTTCCACTTTTTTGACGTTTTCTCCAGTAAGGGACGTGGAAGGGCGTCCCTCGCGATGTTCATCTTCAGTGGAGGTTCTGCCCAGCTTAAATTCCTTTGCCCAGCGTGCGACTGTGGAATATGGAGGAGCAGACTCCCCCAATGTTTCCTCTAAGTCGCTGTGTATGTCTTTGGTAGACATTTTTTTCAGGAAGAGGTACTTGATGACAGCTCTTATTTCATTTTTCTCCATTTTGATGTTTTCTCTTCGACAGTTCGTATTCAAATGAATGTATCTCCCGGTAATGGTGTCCTATTTATACATTTTTTTGAAGCTGAAGTAGTGGATATATAAGCAAGCAGAAAAAAAATAATTTGGGTTTTTGTGCGTTCTAGAAATACTCGATTATCATTACTTATTGATCACCCCTCGTATGTTTACACGGTAAATTTGCCAAAATATCATTTTTTACAATCTCAAGATCTACAAGTCTGTTTGTTTCGGGTAATCTCTGGAACGGCGGGACCGATTTCGACGGGACTTTCACTGGCGGATAGCTGATGACATAAGGAGTAACTTAGGCTACTTTTTTTAGACTAGCTTCGCCCCGCGGCGTTGCCCGCGGTTATAACAACAAACGCGGGTAACACTGCGGGTCTCAGCTAGTAAAAATATAATAATCTACCACATTCACACAACGCCATTTATTAAAGCAGCAGAGATCGAACTAAGCAGAGCTTGTACTATGGGTACTAGATAACTGATATAAATACATATGTACTTTTTTTTGTAAATACATACATATTATACATAGAAACACCCAGACCAAATCAAACATTAAATGTTCATGCACATAAATGTTTGACTTGATCGGGAATCGAACCGCGACCTTTGGAATAGCAGTCCGTTACACAAACCACTACGCTATCCGGTCGTATTATTTCTGTATTCCTTCGATTTGTTTATTTGTACATAAAATCGATGAAACATTCACTTATTCACATCCAGTTATCAAGTCTACTTTAATTGTGAAGCACCGGAAATCCTGTCTACGAATGATATCCCATATAGCGTTCTTCATTTGTGTACGTAGCATTTCGTACTTCATTAGTTTCTAGAAGATTTTAGGTTAGGACATTCTAGTTTTATTAAAGCGATGAGTCGGCATGATGCTATGATGTAAATACACATGAGAGCAATTAATTAGGGTCAGATTGTGAATGACTTGTGAAACGATGGAGCACACGCCTCGCCATTATGAAGTAGTTTTATTTACGACAATTATATACCGTCGTATAAAAATACAACTGCCTATGAAGGTCCCGCATTGCAAAGCATGCGATGAATGGTGGTTTTCAGTGCACATGCCTCACAATGTTTGTATCCACCTTTAAAGGTATGTACGTGAAACCTATCGTGAGTGCGTTAATTCCCGGAAACATAATTATTTATTATGGAACGCGGTAGTTTAAAAGTTAATAAAATAAAAGTGATATTAAATACTTGCATGACCCTAAAGTCATACATTATAGATTTAAAAATATATACTTAGTCGGATCATAAATTCTTTCAAAAATGATATATGAAATGAAATGTAATTAAATGTACAATACAATTTTATTTACATTATTCTAAATGCCCTCCTCCGTTTTGAATACATGCCCTTAATCAACGCGGCCAGTCGTCGATCAACCACTTACATATCTATTTCTGCCGCTGCATTATGCTACAATGTAAATACACTTGCGAGCAATTTATTTTGGTCAGATTGTGAATGATTTTTGAAACGCAAGTGTCCATGGGTGGCGACAGTCATCATCATGTGACTTAACTGCTCTTTTGCGAGCCTATACCATAAAAAACAGGTACCACATTCCTTTGAAATGCCTGGTGTTACGACCAGGTTGTACAGCCGTAGTCATAGCCTGTTCCCCGTTATTAACATATTTATAAAGTTGTTATGTTGGTTTTGTTTACGTATTTATAATGAATAATATTTAATGTTACAAACAAAAGTTCTTTATTTTCATTTAAGAAGTATTCAATTTTGTGTTAAACACAACTTATTTTACTAAACTATCATTCTTAGTGCCCAAGATTTACAAATCAATTTATAAGCGGCCCGGTTCACTGCTCTCGAGTGTAGATTTCCTTACTTTTCTAATCAACATATACTTAATTAATATTTATTTTAATCTTGTTTATATTATCTATATCTGCCTAGTATCTGATTTTATAATAGTATGTTATATTGTCGTAGGACAGATTAATTTGATAAAATAATCATAATTGAAATGGATTTTTATCAATTGATGATTTGAGCGCGTAGCTTTGGTAAGTGAATGTACGAATATTCGCCTTGCGTGATTAGTTCTTTTTTAGACGATTTTCAATACCCTCCCCCCCCCCCCCTTAGAGATGAAATTGCACAAAATCCTCTTGTCTTAATTGCCTGTTTGTAAATTTTTAGTACCTATACAGTTGCGTTTTTTGTTTTCTAAATTAGTATGTAATAAAAAGGTAACTTCTTCTTCCTTTGTTCGCAGAAAAATATCCACAAATTAAGAAGCTGTTCGGCTACGATCCTATGTTCAAATGGATAGTGACAATGATGGTGGTCATCCAACTTTTATCCCTGCCTATAGTGCAGCACCTCAGCTGGCCGGCGCTACTGCTAATGGCGTACTGTTTTGGTGGAGTTATAAATCATTCTCTTATGTTAGGTAAGTGTGGAAATTAAATCGTAAAAACTATTTCATTCAATCATGATTTACCCGTATAGAGCAACACAGGCCACCGGCGGACTGGAGGGGAGTAGCCATAGCGTCTTTTCGCGACACAAAAAAGTCTGTCATTTTTTGCGGGGAAAATCTTATTCTCACATTTTCAGACTTTCATACAAAAACAATCAGCTGTACTATGGAACTCACACATAACAATTAAAATAACACATTAACAATTGCACACATACCTATAGGTACACATTCTGTGTAATAACTGTGTAATGAAGTGACGCACTACATTGACATACTGCAAACAACCGTGGCTGTAACAACTATCGAAACGCAATATCGAAAAATTCGAGAAGTCGGTTATGGAAATCAGGTTTAAAAAGTGATACAATTATGAAAATTCCATAATATCGCTTTATTTATTAATACTACTCGACTTTAACACCAATCATCATTGATATTACCAATAGTTTATTTATCACTGGTTTTTAAACTGTTTTTTTTTTTTATTAAAATGTGGGTTAGCTTTTTTCATTAAGAATGTACCATCGTCCTTTTGTTTGCCAACACTTAAATGTCAGAGGTCTTGAAATGATCTGATCAAATGACACTGTTTCTTGTAGGTATCCAGGTAAAGTATCTGTTATTACAAAAGTTCTTCCATATAGCCTTTAAATTCGGATCTTTGGGAAACCTGCAATTAATAAATTAAGAAAATGTGGTCATACGTACGGTCGTACGTAAATTCGACTGCAAGGATGGCATAGTGGTTTAAGCGGTCGCCACGCCGCTTACTACTACGCTGAGTGTTGTGGGTCCGATCCCCACATTTGACGAAACTGTGTGATACACTAATTGTTGTTCTGAGTCTGGGTGTCCTTTGTGTCCGTTTCATGTATGTTTGTAAAGTCCCCCGCGACACAGGATTTATTCCTAGTGAGGGAGTAGTCTTTAAAAAAAAAGAAAAAAAATTGTTAATACTCGTAAATATTGTATTATATTTAATTGGACGCAATTTTAATATTAAAATAAAGCTCACAATCCAAAAAAAAATATTAATTATATCAGAAAGCATAATCCATCTCATTAATGATAATATGCACGTGAGACATGGATGTATTTATGTTTAACTATTTACAAACCGGTAACAACACTATCGCTCGGTGATAGTGATTAGCAACACGTCACTTGGATCGGTCGCTCAACCGATCAGAATATTGTATGAGAGCGAGCGGCCTGCGTTGGTAAACAAATTAATGAATTACTCGTTAAGAACGATTCGGCTGCACGTAAATACACAAGTTATACATGTCAAAGTAACGAGGTCATTCGATTGCTAAATTTTTTTTTACATACCGGACACTATATATGAAAATCGATTCTTAAAGAGTAAACTCCAAAAAAATTAGGAGAGGGAAACGAATAAAGCGTGTGAGCAGGGATAATGCAACTCTCAGTTAGGGAAACGGGACTAAGACTTTAATAGCTCGAAGAGACTAGTGATGGAGTGTTCACAGGTTGAACTGTCAGGCTGTCGGAGTCACCCTGTAACTACGACCAGTGCAACATGGACCTCAATTCTGCTATTTATGTTAACGTACAAGCCACTCATTCCATTGACACGCTATTGAGATTCCATGAATATCGGTCAAAAAATCGGTATTCTATTAACATAAATTAGTTATATTACTTAAATAACATAAACAACAGTAAAGTGTTATATATTATATGTATGTATGTAACTCAGCAATTATATGTGTATGTGTATTTCAGTATGTATTTATATATATCTGTGTCACTGTTTATGTCCATCTCCTCATTTAAGTATAAATATTATCTTTTTAAAACAAAACTTAATTTCTAGTGAACCTACTCGGACATTTCCACACCACCCAAAGGTTGATTGGGAGAAAATGCCTGTGGCATTTAGCCCACCATACAAAAAAAAAAAAAAAAAAAAATCTCAGTGTCAATAGACTGTGGATGTAGTTACCACAGCTCATCAATGGTGATATTATCAACATAACTATGTCTGGCAAATTAAATGTATCAGTTCCTTACAAATTAAAAATTTACCGTTTACCAAACTATTACAAAGGCATCGCCGACATTTGTATGAGTGGCAGTTCAGTGAAAAGTTATCGGGAGGCCATTGGTCTTACATAGCATAATACGATAAGTGCAAAACTATTCCGACGACAGTCTATAGATACAATAGATACATTAAGCGGACTTGCGATCAAGATGTATTGTCGTCGGTTGGAATCCTGTCCAGTACACCACCGTGTCTGGAGGGCTTAACGGGGATGCTAGTAATTTCGGTTGCTAGTAAACCAAAAATAATAATAATAATAATATTGCAGAATTGAGGCCCTGATCGTAACGTCAGGTATTTAAAAAGTATGTACTTGAAACTCCCTCTAATTCTGGGAAAAGGACTGCAACGCAATTGTGTCTTGAATTACAGGTGTCCATGGGCGGCGGTTGTCACGTACCATTTCTTTTTTTTTTTTTTTTACGTGTGGAAATCCCCTCGGACCGTCACCCCGCCGGGGCTCTCGTTCGGCGGGGCGGTGTGTCGGACTCGAACCGACTAAAACCACACGGTGTGCCCTCTTTGCGCTTCCAGTTTAGGAGGGGTCCAGGTAGTTATCGCCTTCTGGACCCCTCCCAGGTTGTCACGTACCATCAGGCAACCCGTCTTCCCGTTTAACCCATTTGACATAAATAAACTTAATTGTCGTAACACCAGAACAAAAAAAAAATATAGGTATCTATCTATCCATCCATATTCATACAAATAAATGAAATTAAAGTGTTTGTTTGTAATGTAAAAATAATAGTTTTTTTATCATGATCACACGGTAATTTATACGATACCTATGCCTAAAAACTACAATGTTTTTTTTTGTCTGGCTGTCTGTTTATTTCGTGGAATCTTCTAAACGGCTGGTCCGATTTTGTTAATATTTTACTACGAGATAGTTGTCCATAGAAGGAGTAACTTAGGCTATTTTTCCTCAGAAAATCCCTATAAAGTTTTGGAATTGAACCTACTAAGGCGGGGTTTTTAATTTCCACGCTAAAGAAGTCGCGGGTACCAGCTATTACAAAATAATACTGATATTACCTTAATAAAAGTAATCCGACGAGGTACAAATCGTGATAAGATAAATATGACAATTTATACACAATAAATTGATTGCAATAAACACATTAATCTGTAATTAACAGCAATATGCACCGATATTTGATTGTACTGTATATATTATCTGCAATCCGGAGAGCACGTTACGCCGTCGGTCCCAGTTGCCATAGGAACATCTTCGACAATCGTTACTTATAATTAGAGCCCTGAAAAGTCCGCCAACAGACTATCTACAGAAGTTCCATATCGCCTAGTACTTGTGTTATGGGGGTCTGTTAGCAGTCGCAGCCGTGTCGTAGTACACTCAAAGCCGACCTAACAAAAAAGGGAATTAGGCTCGAACAGCAATTGTTCACTCATTGTAGGTATCGCAAAACGAGACTGATATTTACATCGTCCTGAAGTCGTGAAAGTTTCAGAAGGTTCGAGATCTTTCTCGAAGAATCTTGTAACAAAGAATCCGACTGACACAATACCATCTGGAAGCTTTTCTAATGTCTCGGTACACACTCAAATGTGCGTACTTTCCCCGGAACATTTTTATTACCCATTTGATAAGTTTCGAATGAAAGTAACGGTAGAAAGGAAGACTAACCTTGACTGGCCTGTTGGGTTAGTGATCCTGGCTGTTACATCAAAGGTAGTGGATTCGATACACACCTAGGGCAAATCACTGTGTGATATACAAACGATGATTTGTTATTTTGTTCTGCCTGGGTGTAATAGTATTTGGATTAAACGAGCAGACACCCCCCCCCCTGTGTGGGAACCCCATGTTCCCTGTGCTCCCTGGAAGCGAGCGCGCTTCGCAACGCGCTCGCCGCCACCCCGGCCTGCTTCTGCTAGGGTGACAGATGGCCTCGTCTGTCACCCCCAGGCCTGCGCTTATGGAGGACGGAGGTCGTTCTGCGACCTCCGGCGCCTGAGTCGCCTGCGGTACCTGGCCCGTTCCCGGGCCTGGCGGGCCGGGAGAGTTCCACGCACTCTCGCTTCGCACGATAGCCGCAATCAGGCTATCGAGCGAGAGAACTCCCACTCCGATGGCCGCCACGAGGTCTCGCCTCTGCTCAACCCACGCCGGGCACTCTGCCAGCGTGTGGAGAGCCGTGTCCACGGTCTGGCTATCGCAGTGGTGGCACACTTTGGCTCCTTGCGGATCAGAAAACGAGCAGACACCTACACACACTATACACTCAAGAAACCCCAAGTGCGTTGCCTTTCTTTGAATGTTGCCCCTCCCATAATGTGGGGGAACGTTAGGCTCCAGGAACCTCAATATAGTATATATATTCATAAATACATAGGTATATTCATCATTAGCAGTCTAGTTTTCATATCAAGCAGGCTCTGCCCAATTTAGGATCAGACTACCGTATGTAAGATATGTCGAGTTATTTTTATTGCCTTTAAGGTAATTTCTACTGTTATTGATAATATTAAAACATGATATCTGATCGTCCACTTATAGGAAGCGGCGTTTTCGAGTAAATACTATCAGTTAGCAATCACAGCACTTCAAAAAACTCTTATCTGAAGAGTTATTGACACAATAAACTGATTGTTAGAGGACGTGTGATAACTTATGAAATTTTACGTTTACAATCGCTTTACAAATATAGTGTTTCAACATATTGTTTGTGAAATGGTTTTATTTAGTAGCAGCTTTTGCCCGTGGCTCCGCTAGCGTGTATGGTAACTCTTTATTGTACAAGAAATAAAACATTAATAGAACAGGTTGTTTACATTTGTATAAGTCGTAAAACCCAGAGACAGACACACAAAAACAGAAAAACTTAGCCTGTTACTTGCTGATAATGTAGATTTTTAAAGAAATACTCTATCT